AGTTCCAGAACACGGCCACACAGCCCGGAAGACCCACACCAGCCATCGTATGCTGGCCGTGAAAGCCTTCGACAAAACATTTTCTTAGCTCGCCAGAACCGCGTGGGAGGATCAAGAGGATGAGACTGGAACAAGAATTCACACTGTTGTGGCTGGAGGACTTTGGGGACTGGGGTTTGAGTCTGGGAAGATTGATGTCAGGCCTAGCCCAAGGAACCCCAAGAGACCATGCAAATCCAGTCCAGCTATGTTTATTAGCTACAACCTCTAGCAAGAATCTTCCCAGACTCAAACCCCAGTTCCCAAAGTCCTCCAGCTGCAACAGTGTGAATTTCTCGGGGAGGCGAGTCTCATCCTCTTGATCCTCCCACACTCTTCTGGGGAGCTAAGAAAATGTTTGTCTCCCTGAGCCTGGCCTTCATAATTCCATTCCATCACAAGGATATTGTATAGGATATTGGGAATGTGCTCTCACACATGTAACGAGTTAGAGGACATGCGGCATAGAAAGGAAGATTTCAAGTTTTGCGCAAACACCTGAACAGAGAGGAGGAGGGTTCGAGAGGCTTGGGGTCACCCCTAAGCAGATCACTAGTGTGCGCCAACCTGCAGGTCTTCACATTCGTAGGAATACTGAGACAGAACTTAATGTATGTGGACGATTGCAGAGATACATCTGGTCTTTCTAATAATTTGACCCTAATCTAAACATCTGATTACTCTAATTTTTATGTCAATTACTTTAGCAATTTAAATTTCAAAAAGAAAGCTTGTTTTGCACTCCTTGGATATTTGTACCTTCGGTTGTGGCTTAATTCTGCAACTAAGTTTGTTGCCACTATAGATCCACTTTTTTTTTTCACACACCCACAGACACAGACACGTGCACAGTATTTCTGCCACTCCTGCCCCAAATTAGGAATGGCTTATTGCTTTTTTCACTGGATAATATTCCTATTTTTCGTCCCCACCCCCGTCTTCTGTCCACACACTAGCAATCCAGTATCTCTTATTTAAGGATATGCTAGTAACGTTTAATGTAGTTTAAATTGCATGGGGCCTGTCCTAACTGCTGTGTTTAATAACTATCATCTGTGTCCTCTTGACTAATAAATGGCTTTGTTTCCTGCTGTCAAAAGCATGAGTGAAATGCATGTATTTCAGGAGGAGGGGGAGAGAAGGGGGGGAAGCAAATCCATCCTTTCCCAGACAATCAATCAAAATTGACAGGCCCTTTAACATACAATTTGTAGGGCGCTGTAGTTTTAAAATGGGAACTGTCCATAACATACAGCTCAAAGCCTTTGTGGCTTTAACACTTGGCAAAGCACCGCATAGGTTGGAGGGTGGCGGCGAAGGCACAGCAGGTTTGACGGGTTTTGAGGAAATCTCATTCTTCCTTCTGCGCTGGTTCGTCTCGAAGCCCGTGAGAACAGCCTGACAATAGATTTGTGTGAATAGCTAAGGAGAGCGTCTTCATGTATACTGCTTCTAATCTTGGTGTCCTCGATGCTTGTTTTAATGTCCAGCTTCTCTTTTCCCACGTAAAAACCAGAGAAGGCTGTGTGTCGGTGTCCCAGAACGCAAGCCATTGGTCTTCGGGTGCCGAGCACATGGGCTTCCCTGCATTAATCACCCAGTCTCCAGCTGATGTGCTCACCTCCCCCAAATACAGTGTACCAGAAAACATGTTAAGCTGAAATGTTGCAAAAAGAAGGGGGCAAAAGAAACACACACACACACAGAGTGCAGTTATTGAAAGCTGGAGCAGGAGAAGCTCTTTATGGCTTTCATTTTGATATATTTTTAAGGTATAAATCAGCTGAAGCTTTGATTCGTTTGTTTTAGAAAATGTGCTCCTACAGGTCTAGAAACCCTGTTTTATCATTTCTGCTTAGGGTCCTGGGAGATGCCTCTCAATCATTTCTCTCCACTAATTTTTGTATCGCCCTCATTAAAAAAAGGAAAGATTTCATTCTGAACAAATTTGTAAATGGTGCTGATGTATTCTACAATTTAGTCAATTACTGTTTCAGCTTGCAAGCCACCTGGGAAACGGAACATACATGGCCTGAAGGTAGGAATTTCAATAATTGTTTCCGTAAACTTAGATGGATTTGCAGTGCTGTGTTCCACTTATTGAAATGTCAGATAAAACTGTACTTTCTCAGCCTTGACAAGCAGATTGTTTTACAGACTACTGCAGAGGAAAGATTCTTCCTGGGTGAGAGGTTGACTGTGCTATCTTGCATCTTGAGTGGTATTGTTTCCTTCCTGGGTTTTATGAATCCGTTTCTTAAACCAGCGTTGAAGACCGTGGGGCAGTCGCTGTCCCACCGTTCCGTATTAATGTGACAGGTCTGCAGAAACGGTTCTCTTGGGCCGCCCCAGCTATCCCTAAACAAAGGGAGAAGATTGCGTGAATTCTGTGTACCTGCGTAAGAGCAGCTGTAAGATGAGGGTTACCTTTCCTTTGATCAACCCACATGTGGGCAACGTTAGCGTCGTTAATGTTTTGAATTATGAATTACATACGGTGTGCAGGATATGCCTCCATCTTCTCAGTGACACTAGATAGAGGTAATTGATGTATTTGTACAAAAAGGTGGTGGGCTGGGGAGGGAAGGGGAGAGATGTATTTAATAGGGGTGGAATGAAAGCTTTATTGCGTGCCAGCTCCTGATTGCATTACCTAACCAAGCATTTCAAATGCAGAGTGAATAAGAGAACATGATTCCTCAATAACACAATGTGGTAACCTACATAGAGGCTGGATTTCCACCATGGGCAACTAGCTAATTAACCTTCCTAGCGAAATAGGAAATTCACGGCAAATTACAGGTTAATTAGAACCACGTCCTCTGAATAAAAACAACGGATCAAGATTCTTTTTCCCCCGCAGGTAAATACGCGAGCAGGGTCTGCTAACAACAGCAGTGCAGCCATCCCAGACTCCCTTCCAAGCCATAGGTAAGAGTCAGGGGGAAGAGACCATGCTTGTGCTTTATTAAGGCACAGCCCCAGAAGTGATTTTTGCATAGTAATTAACAGAAGCAAATGGGGAAAGGTGGGAATACTTTGGGGGGGATTTAGTTGACTAGTTTTCAACAAGGTTTTTGCAGCTTGGTGAATGTAGTGCTAACCTTGCATCTTAGTCGACCTACTTCTGCATGGATTTCTTTACATGCCCTAAGCAAAATTTTGCATGCACTGCGGTGTACATCTATCTGTCACCTCTTTTGCATATGGCGTTGCATTTTAGAAGAACAAGAATTTCTTCAAGTGTGATTAATCCAAACCGCTCGTGTTTGGACTGCAGCCTGAGCTATCAGGCAGCCCCTTTGGAGAGGCGCAACCCAGAAGGTTCTCAAACGTTTGTCCAGCTACAGATTCAGCAGGATGATCTGAGCGAGTCACCAACTTTATGTCTCAGTTTAGGCTCGGTAAAATGGGAAGACTAATGATACTTCAGGTGAGCAGTTAACTGCAGGATAACTGATTGTAAGGTGGTGTGTAGAAGTTTCTAAAGTATCATAAGAACATTCCTCCTTGGAATATTATTTCTTAATGCAGACCTTACTGCAGTCTGAGCTAATTACACTTATGTGGATTTTGTGCTCAGTCCCTTGCTGGAAAATGGGGAGTGCTAGTTCTCATGATGGAAGAGAAGGATAAGCGGTGGGCTGAATTTTGTGAAGATAAAAGCAGGGCCTTTAGCCAAGGGAAAGGAGCAGTAATCAGGAAAGGAGCAGTCAGGAAGGACAAATGGAGCAGATCCTTGGATTTGAAGAAGATTGGCTGTGACAGATAGAAGGAAAAGGAGGATCCAACAAGCTCATCTCAGAGATGGCTGACCATTCTGGGAGACACAAGGCTGGGGAAACATTCAAAGGTGCAAAGGCCTGAACAGTTGACTAGGAAGGAAATTACAAAGCTGTGATTCTGAATGAAATCTTGAGGAAACAGAGAAAAACCCTGGAGTGGAATCAGAAACCAAGGACTGAGGCCCATAGGATTTCGAGAGCCCTTTGGGATTCAGGCAGTTTATAAATGCTCTTGAGTTGATAAATAAATTAGGTAAATAAGTAGAAACCCTGAAAATGAGAGGGGCAAGAGTTCTTTGGTGTATCTTGCCCAAGCAGGAGAAAGCCTTTGCCCCTAAGCAGAGCCCAAGTTGCATGGAATTAAGAAGGGTTTCCATAGAGTTGCACATGGTCCCCAAGCATGGGGGGGGCGGGTTGTCTTCCCTATGACCCAGGAGGATCCCTTGTGTTGTCGCTGAGTGCCATTGTGGCCTGGGCTAGAAGTGAAATGGACAAATGTGGAATTCGGTATTTAAAAAACCTCTACAGTTTGCCAAGAAGAGTAGGAACACTGTCAATCCAATGCAAAGATTGCAGTGTCTGTCATTATTATACGTCTGATGTTTAAACTTGGTTTGTAGAGCAGATCTCCCAGTCCTTGCTTCGTGGTCATTTGTTTTCTCAGCAACACACACTTTGAGCTGATTCTGCAAATGCCCTACAACAATGCCTCAAGCTGATGCTGTCATCTAATGGGGCAATTAATTGGCTTTCATTTCCAAAACCCATCTGCGTAAGGAATGACTGTTTTGAAGTCATTGACAGTCTGCCTCTGTTTCATGTTCACAAAACAGTTAGTTGCAGGAGATGACAAGATCAGCGTACATTTCATTTGGCAAAGTACTTTCCCTTTAAAGTATTCTATCAGATAGGAGGCTTATTAAAGAACAAAGAACTTTGTTTTATTTCAGTCATGATCGATGATCAAGACACTTCGGCCTGTCAAGAACATAATCGTTCTTTTTAAAGGTTCTTTTTCAGATGTAGTTTTGTGTAGCAGCAGTACAGAAGTGGTTTGTTGGTATTTAACTTTTATGGGCGCAACAGAAAATTTTCTTCTGCATCTCTGGATAAAATTAGTGGGGAGTACACAGAAGCACCCCCTTGTGTTCATGCACAACAGTTGATTAAGATGTGGGCCACGCCAAGAGAAGTCCTGCTGGATTGTGCTCTGAGCCCACTCCCCTCCCAGATCCTCCTGTAGGAGCCAGTTCAGCTAAATTGAGCTGAAAGTGTAAGTGCTTAAGCTGATACGTCATGCTTATCCTCTCAGTAAGTAGCAGATTGCAGCCATTCCCAGGTTATAGCTACAAAGGCAAGGAATGAGGGCCTCAAAGTCACCTTTGAACTGTCTGCAACCTTCCAAGGTTCTTTTTGCTTTTCTTGGTAAACCATAATTTCCCCAAGGAAATTCAGTTGACGGTATCAGCATTTTAAGGAGAATTTAAATGAAACAAAGTAAATCTACCAATGTGTGCTTTACATACTTAATTCTGATTATGTCAGTGCAAAGTTCACACCATTGTCATCATAGGCAGATGTTCCAATTAGCGATGAGATGCTCTTTAGTGAAGGATAAAGTTGTCGCTCCATTCCATAAAGTGCAGCTGGACAATCACTAAAGACACCTTCCCTTTTCTTCTTTTTTCTTTCTTTCTTTCCGTCTGTCCTGCCCCATTCTGCAGTCTGAAGAAGTCTTCCGCTGAACTGAAGAAAATATTAGCAAATGGCCAGGTAGGTATATTGCAGAGGGACTGGCTGGAGGCACGATCCCTGTCTGGGTGAATTCAAACAGGCCCCGTGTTCTCAGGTCACCCCAGAGATGTTTACTGCTCACTTACTGGTAATGTGTTCTTTTAATAAAGTAGAGGAGAAGGCAGGGAAAGAGCTGGTGTTGTGGCGGAGCCTCTGTCCTGATTGATTTGGATTGGCACGCCAATTTACTTCCCCTTTTTCAAAATGCACTAATCAGATTTAGCTCCAAATAGATTGAAGTGCCTTTCACACCCGCCGTTCGGTTGCCTCAATTTAGGGGAGAAAACGTAATCAATTTTGAATAGCAAAACAGCGTTTCTGGTTTGCTCGCTGTTTGCAGATGGGCTCTGCCGCCCCTGCCGCCAAAGAGTGAGTAATGGAGGCATAACAGGAGGGGTGTGTCCTTTGAAGCTCCGTCGGAGAGGGAGGCCATAAAGCGTCCCCCGCCCGCTCTGGCTTCTGCGGGGGAATGCGATGGTCTCACAATTGATGGGCGAAAGAAGACCTCGGGGCCAGCCCTTCCTGGCCACTTTGATTCAAACAGGCAGGAAGTCCCAAAGTCGCATAATGACTTTAAATATACACCGCTAAATGCAAGTACCTCAAGGCTGCAGGATTCTTCACTAGCAACATAAATAAGTTTTAATGTTTGTCATGGTGAAAGCCTTTTGATAGCCTTGGAGGCAGGCACCTGTCCATGCCGATCAAGCCTGCCTATTAGACACTATTGACTGAGACATCTGTGTCACTGCAAATAAAAGACTCTTATTGATTTTCTTAACTGCTGTTCACTTCCCTTCCGTGTTTCGAAGGCTGAAATCTTAATTATCTCAGATGCGTATTCAATGCCTTCACATAGTGACCTCTCCAAGCCTCATTGGCATTTCATGAATCAAGTAGTTGTAGTTGAGCGTGTCAAGAAGATAAAAGCTGGTCTTCACGCGTGTCCTTCAGCGGATCACCTGTAACATTGCCCTCTTAATAGATGAGAATGGTCCTGCCCGCCTTGCTCCACTGCAGGCTTGCTTATTTGCAGCCAGAAGTGTTTAAATAAAACTTAAGAATATGGATTTTGGCTCTTCTTTTTTAAGCATAGTCTTACCTGAAAGATAGACGTGGAGTATTTTTAAACACTTTGTGCTGATTCTTTTTTCCTGTATTTTATTTAATCTTTAACAACTGTTTGTAAGAAAGGTACAGGCTTCAAGGCTTCAAGGGTAGAGAGGGGAATGAAATATTATTAGATTTTTTTTAAGCCTCACCTCGAGAATAGATGTTTTCATTATCCTCAATTGAGATAAGAAAGTTTTTAATTGGGAAAGAAAATGCTTTCTGGAGGAGAGTTTGGGATCCCTGTTATGACTGCATTGAACTGAAGAACATGGGGAGGTTTACTTAAGAAGGGAGATTGATTTAATTTTCAAACTGTACTGAGCTTCAAGCCACATTCATTTAATGTTACTGAATGCTTAGCATAAAAAAATGAAAAAAGAGCTGGGGGAATGGACAAATAATGTGACCTTTTAATTTACTTTGGGTGCATTAAGCAGCAGTTCTGAAAGCATTCCAATGTGCATTTGAGAGTCTCCCAGTCATTTGGGTGAATGGTGAGCTCCCAGGGTCTCTGGGGAATCCCCAGATGGGAGGCTAGATTGGGAAGGCAGACAGCATCCCCAAAGAAGAGTGTGGAAGAGAACCACACAGTGGTGTCCATGAAGTCATCAGGAGTGGAGCACAATGTAAAGGAATCCTACCTTTTTGTAGGCAAAGAGATGCTAGTGTAAATACCTCCCTCCATTCCCATCTACTTTGCCCCAGGAGTGAACACACAACTCCGCTCTGGATTACGATGGGGGGGGACACATCTGGGGCTGATTCATGCGTGTCCTCTCCTGCTCCACTGATGTTGGTGAGAACCCGCCTAATGTAGGAGGACCAGTAGGGGAGGGGGCTAAATTGTGGACTTCCTAAGAGAGTGTGGTTTCCTACCTTCTGCTTTAAAGCATTAATAAAGACTTTGCTCCCTGAAAGCCTCCATTTAGGTTTAATAAGGAATTCATATTAATCATTAACAGAAAGGGGACATGATTCTTCAAGATAATCAAATATTGACAGGCTAGAAATAGCTTTCTGCCTAGGTTCATTGATATAGGTTATGTGATATAAATATTTATTTCTTTTCTGTCACTCAGAGAAAATGCCGCCAATTGATTCAGCATTGACGTAGTGTCAACAGTTCATAAGAAACATTTGACTGGCTCGTGTTTTCCGATTAGTCCCCGCTCTATGAAGTGGGATTTACTAAATCTCTTCAATTGTCTGTTCATAGACTGTGACTGCTTTCTGAAGCCATTAGGACTTTGATTGGTACAGGGAGGGAGCCCATACAGGGCGAGGCTTCTGCCGTAGCTGTATATATCAAATAAGGATTAATTGAGCATCTTTTCTAATGATTTATAAGAGATGCATGCTGATTCTTTCCAAGACAGCAGATATAAACAAAGACTATTTTATTTGCTGATCCATAATTGGATACTATTTCACTTTTGGCTTATTCTGTTAATATCAGCGGCCAATCAAGATTGCATAAGAAAAAATAATGTTCTAGTGCTTGCCGCAAAGTTGGTAGTTGTTAGGATTTGATTGATGCCTTCAGATTCTCAAATACAGTAAATAAATTGCTAGGAATCCTTGAGATTTCTCGCTGGGTTTATGAAATTTTCTTATTTATTTAGTGTGGCTTTATCCTGCCTTTCAAACAATTATAATCTCCCAAAGTGGCTCTAAACAATTAAGAAAAGAGAAAGAAGCTTTATTCTCAGGTTCACAATCTTGGATTTTAAAAATCTAGAGCTCCAACGCTTTGCTGAGATACTGGGAGCTTTCTACTTAGGGTGACGGTCAAACCAAGCTGTTATCAGCTTGAACTTGCATTGCTTTTGAATTAATTTGGCGAGTCCCAGAATTGGGGCAGGAGGAATCTGGAGCAAGGTAATCTAGCCATTCTCACTCCACTGCCTCTGTTTTATCTCCTGCAAATGGGGAGGATAGTAGAGATCTTGAAAAGCAGCCGACTTCAGGCATTGTTATAAGAGGCAGAATACAAATTTATTGTTCCTGTCAAGCCCATTGAGAACTTTCTTTTGGATGTGAGGGTGATCTGGCTGCGACACCTGTCACCCCAATTGTCACCAGGGTTGATTCAGCTGATCTGGCTGGCTAGGCAGGTGTCCCCTTCCTCCCTTCCCGATCCATGTGCGTCCCTTCCAAAGCTGCGCACTTGGTGGAAGAGGGCGGCGATCCCAGATAGGAGTGTACCAATCTTCGGTGAAGTGTATAGACAGCTGTGCTCCCCTATAGATTCTGCAAACAAGCTCAAGAGCTTTGTTCCAAGTGGATTGAGCCCACTTGCTAACGTGTGTTTTGGGGTGGGATACTGTTTGGAGGGTTGGAAACATTCTGCTTGGCTCCAGTCACTCTTTCAAAACTGTAACGGAACACGTTTTCTGGTGTGTTGGGTCTCTGTTCCACCACCAAGGATGCAGAGCAGAGCTTCCAATAGCAAAGAATATTTGCTGTAGTTTCTGGAGTGGTAAAAGAAGTGGTAAATAAATGGTGACCGTTCGCTGCTCACCACTTGACCAAAAATAGGTTAAGGTAAGAAATAGGCTAATGTGGAAATAGTTTAGCTGCACTTTTGAAATCTTTATTGGCCCTTTCTGGAATAACCCTCCAATAATTAAGCTGTAGAACTGCTGTCCCCAGTAGGTTTGCTTTCATGCTGCGGATGGGTTCCATCCTCAGTGCCCTTTTGAAGTTTCTCTTCACATGCTTCTGAGTAAAGAATTGTGCCCTCCTAGACCATCCATCATGATCTTCCCTGTAAGGGTGGGCAATGTTATGCAGACTGCGGAAAAGGCATAAGGAATGGGAAATTAAAGGCATGAGATGAAAGAGAAAGAACGAAGGAAAGGAAGGAAGGATGGACTCACTCTATCTTGCCATACTATTTCCTTGCTAAGCATCCTTCTTTCTGTCCATATTCTGCTTTATACATTGTTTTTTCTTCTTTAAACTTCTCACACTTCTCTTTTTGAGGAACTCACTAATTCCATTCAACCACAACTTTCCCATTTTATCCTTCGTCTTCCTTCCTTCCTTCCTTCCTTCCTTCCTTCCTTCCTTCCTTCCTTCCTTCCTTCCTTCCTTCTGCAGTTCGATATTTATTCATCCTCTCTATACAATCAGATCAGATTTCTCGTAGTGACCACTCATTCTCATATGCAGTCCATACTGATTCAGCCTTCATTCATTCCCTACTACATCTCTTCAGTATGTGTGTTTTAGCATACACACATTTTAAGTATCCCATTCCTACTGCATTTAACTTTCTTTGTTTTTCCTGACATAGAGAACTCTGACTTCCATATAACAAGCCAGCAGAAATGTGTCCTCATTTTTGCTGCTTTCAGTGCTCATTCTTCACAGTTGACTACATAATCTACTACCTTTCCATTAGCATTTGCATACCTTAAAAACCTAGACATTCTCTATCCTTTTCCCTCTTTTTAATAAACATTCTACACTGTTAAACCAATTCATATACTTGTTTTAGTTTTCCACTGTGTATAACTTGCAATCATTCATTCTATTTTCCATTTCAGAAATGACTATCTTGGTCTTTGATATGTTAATTTCCAAATCCATACTTCTTGTTGCATGATATAATCTAACATTTGCTGCAAATAATTTGAGTTATTAGCCAACAACATGGCATCATCTACATTCAAAAATACACAAACATTTGTGGCCCCAGCCAAACACATCTACTGTCACCACTACCATTCCTTAGAAATGTAACCATAAATACATAAATCAAGGAGGGCTCACGTATCCTTGTTCCACGCTCAGTGATAAATAATTTGCTAAACATTCCATTTATTCTCACTCATGATTTATTTCCCTCATATACTGCTCTTCAGTAACTAGCCTTCAACTCCTTTTGGACAAAGTCTGTAATTCAAGTCTTGTAATGGTACGTGGGAATGACCTTGGGAGACAGGGCAACGAGACACAGCCAACAGTCAGATAAAAGTTATCTTAGCCCCTAGTAGGAATGTGGGCAGGGCAAGAGGCTCAGAAGAGACCTTCCCTAGTTTTGGGGCTGTAAAGGGGGCAGTGGGGGAGAGATGTATTTTCAGACTTGCAAGATTCTGTTAATGTAACCTTACAATAAAGTAGAATTAGTTCATCTGGTTGTGTTTTCTGCCTGGTCTACCTTGTAAGGCTGACAAACATTCATTTTATCATACATGTAAATCAACAAACATGCCTAAACTTTCTTGTATTCATTATCATATTGCAGTGATTTGCTAAGAGCAAAGACCTGGCCTTCCCATGCCCCGACTGGCATAGAACTGCACTGGGCTTCCCAATTTTTGCTTGTTGTCACCATTGTACCTTTTCAGTCCAAATTCTCCCAGACACCTTTCCTGGCACACCTTTTAAACCAGTTCCCGCTGTAGCTTTTGAATTTTACTCTGGCTACCTCTTTTTTGGTATAGGGAAATGGTAACTGCACACTTCCAGTTGTTGGGCACAGACACAATCTTCACCCATGTTAAACAATTTGAACAGCCACTCCATGAGCAAACCACAACTTTAACATTTCTCCAATTACACCATCTACACCTGCAGCTCTATCATTTTTCAACATTGTCATAGATCTTCCCTTTCATCAGTATTTTTTGGACACAATTACAGCATTCATTTCAATTTCACATTTCCAACATATCACTGTCATTCCCATATAAATCCCTAAAATAGTCCTTCCAGCATTCCCTTATTTCAGGTTCCTTTCAAGTAATTTTCTCACTTTCATTTTTAATTCAGTTCACTGGCAGAGGTTTCTTGTGTAGCCCTCTTCGCTACTGTATTACCAAAACTGTTTTGTTTTTCATCAAAATGACTGCATTTTCTCTGCCTCTTTAAATCTTAGCTGTTCTTTGCCCGCCTTCTCTATGTTCTTTGCAACTGCAGTATCTTTTTGTCTTTCACACATTATTCAATAACTTTCACGCTCATGGTTATCAGCAGTGTTTCTCACATAGAAGACGTTTTAGCATGCAAGGCTAACTCCTGACTAATTTTCGTTTGCAGAGGAGTTCTGCAAATACACATTGCACTGGAGTTCTCCCCCATAGCAACTTTTACAGGAGCTCTCATATACCTTTTCCCTCTTCTCCACAACCTTTCACCAAGCCTCCTTTTTCATACTTTATGAAAAATATAACTCCACACACTTCTGTGACCCTTTGTAACATAATTCTTTTCACTCTGTTTCAAGCTGCTTCCACATCCTTTCCTTATTTATTCTGTTGGGAGATTAATCGGTCTTCGAAGACTTTATCATTTAGGACTTGTACTTTCTCTTCCTGCATTCATTCTATTTTCACTCTTCATTTGTTTTACTTTCCTTCTGTGTCCATTTTTCCCCAAGAGCCACTCTTGACACTACCAAAAATAGTGTTTTGAGTCCCCCCGCCATATATGGAGTTTCTTGCTTCTTTTGGAGAAATGTATATAGATAGTGTCCCTTACTTGTTTTAATCTGGATCATAGTGTGCCATTCTTCTAAACTGTGGAACAGGAAGACCTTTGGAAAATCTCCAGAAAAGCAGCTTTCTGAAGTTCAGACTGCTGGTTGGCAAATCTGGGAGTTGCAGTCCTGAGACTTCTGGAAGGTATCAAGTTCAGGAAAGCTGTTCTTGGGTCCTTATCTCTGAAAGCTTTCTTGGCACGTCTTCTCAGAAGATTGTAGAGAAAACGTACTATGTAAAATGTGTTTGTGGTGATGGTGGGAGCTGTTGTTCTTTACTTCTTGGCCTGTTTTCTTGAAAGGGGAAAAATCATTTAGAAAACAACCCCCATAGCATGACCATTTGTTTTGATTCATGACTGTCCATTGCGTATTAATTAATTTCAATATATTAAGTTTACTGCAACAAACTAAATAGGCAATTTGTACAAAATCTACTTTTGTGCCATTGCGCTTCTAACAATCACAGATTGCCCAAGCTTTATATCTGAAAAAATATTTCCCTGGATATATAAATTGAAGTGCAGCAAAAGGCATTTTAAGATTGGCCTTTCATAGCCTTCGAGTAGATGATTTTTACCATTGTTGTCCTGGCATGTGATTTGTTTGTCAAATCATCTTTCTACAGCTAACACTTTTTTATTCAGGAAAACTCATGGAGGGGAGTTTTGCCTTTCATGACATGCCTTTGCTCTTCTTGCTAACGTCCTTTATCTTCATTGAGATTTGATTGCCTGTATTGCCCCCTCGTTACCTTCTAAACATAATTCAAGGTGCAAACTTTGACCTTCAGGTTCTTCTACAAGTGTAATTGGGCTGATGGGTGATCTGCTGGGCTGTGTGTGTGGTTAAGGGAGATTGCTGTGGAGCAAGAGCACGCGTGAACTTAGAATTGATTGCTTACCTGCAAAGCAAGCGGCATGTGCTGCTTTGGTGATATGAGGTGAGCCGTATGAGGCATCCACACGGAAGGTTCCCATACTTGCTGACCATCTGAGCACTGTATTCTTGTGACTCTTCTCTAGCTTGAGAGCAAAACTGTCAGGTTTCAGGAGCACATATGTGGCTGCATTTGAGGCCTGAGCGTTGGCTGAGGGACTCTATAGTCCCCTCCTGACCCAGGCCTTGGTGATGCTCTGCACTCGAGACCCTTTCTCTCCCCTCCATGTCTGTGAACTGCTCCTCCTGAGCTATGTTATCATTCCATTTTGACACCTTTTATCAAACTTTAATGAAATGACCCAGGCAAACAAATTGTCATTAAACTTTCCATCACTTTGTCCCCTGGTATTGTCTTTTATAAATTGGACAGCAAATGTTGTATTGATCTCCTCGTTCTTGCAGCTGAACTTGAAATGACCCAGACGGCGGGTTGTTTATGGCCGAGAGTGGCTTTTCCTTGACACTTGCGTCCACAGCATGACATCTCTTTTGTTTTTCTTTCTTCCTTGTGGAGATGAATGAACAAGACATACGGTATCGAGACATCCTTGGTCATGGCAATGGAGGAACCGTTTACAAGTGAGTGTCCCTCTCCCCTTTTTTCCTTTGCTCCAACTTTTGGGAAAGAAAAGGCAAAGACATTTTTCCCTTCCCCACAATTAGGTCACAAGGTGTTGGGCCTTTATCCTTCCTCTGTGAAATGCTGATGATATTTAATGTTTGTGGGAGTTGCCTTCATAACTAAATTATGTCTAGAAAAATAACCTTTGTATTTTTATACCCTGTTGGCTGACAGTGTTTGAATCTTAGGTGAATCTTAGTGCAGGATCAAAGAAAATTGCTATTTGGGACTGAAATTGCTGTTTCCAAATTGACACACCTTTTATTTTAAGTGAATAAGGTGGACTGGGGAGAGGGGATCCCTCTCTGTGGCCCCTTTCCAGGCAATTTCCTTTTTCTGTGATGTTTTGTATAAATTTGGACTAAAGTTAATAACAGAGGCTTATAGGCTCCCTTGCAACCACCAAATATCGCGATGATCAATATTTTTAGAAAGGGATTAAATGATAATACCATATGGAAAATATGCTAATAGGCATATAAGACGCAATCCATCTATGGAACTCTTTGCCATAAGTAATTGTAATGGCTGTTAGCAAAGATTATATGCAAACATGGAGAATAATTCTGTTGTTGATATCAGAGAAGACAGGTTCTTTTTCATGTACCATAATTCGTGCTCAACCGTACATGCCAACATGATAGTTAATTGTAGGTATTCTCTTTATTTCTATTGGTAGACGGGTTTTTGAGCTAGATGAATAATTTGTTCAGTCCAACATTATGTTCTTAAGCACCCCACCCTGCCTCCTCACACAGTGGATAGCTGGGACTCATTTCAGCTACAGAGGGCTGACACTAACTCTAAGCCATTTCTCTGTTTTGTGAATGTTACACAAGCTTGGCAAACATCCTCCTTTAGGTTTCCAGATGTTCTTCAAGAGTATCCCCAGGTGGGAACGCGTCGGAATAGTCTAATAGGATGTTGCCAAAGCATAGACAACCATAGTTAGATTGATTGGCTCATGAAAAGTCACAGGTGATACATGAAGCATAATGTGCAAATATGCTGCTTGCCGCTACTGCCATGTCGAGGCTAGAATCAGTGCAGGATCAAAGAACACTCACAAGCTGCACACCTTGGGGAGCATCTTTGAGCTCAGGATGAATCCAGTCTCTGATCCTGATTTCTCATTGGCCAACAAACAGCCCCTTTGTCTTGTCCAGATTTAATTTCAACTTGTTCACCTTCATCCAGCCCATTAGCACAGTCAGGCAACATTCAGCTGTATTGACAACTTCCTTGGAATTAGATGACAAAGACTAATTGTGGTGGATCTGCATGAGCTTCCGTTACCATTATGGGAATTGAAAGAGTCTTTTGAGAATCCTACCATTTATGCAAGTAAATTAATATCCAGGGAAGTTTGTTGTAACAAAGTTGTTATGGATTATCTGATTCGGTTAGGATAACGCAATGTAAAGTTGCTGCCTTTCTTCTGATTAGATGCCTAATAGCAGTTGATAAACTTCCTGTAACTACACATTTTGGTTCTTTCCAGGAGCTGTCTAGCTCCAACAGGACATTTCTCTGACGAGCCAGTAAGGATTTGGATTTCCAGCTTTTCGATTAAAACTGCCAGGCCGACGCCCTCCAAAGGCACTTGTCATTTTGTTCTTGGCTTGGCCCATTGTAATGCAAGTCCTTGTGGACAGGTGGGAGGAACTTTCCAGAGAGGAAAGAGAGAAAAACAGATACTTTCAGGACAGGGAAATTATTCTGTGGGTATTCATAGAGTTTGAAAATAAGAGATGTATTCACTGCATCCCACCACACCTCTTCAGCTTCCACTGTCTTGAGAGTTCATGTTTTTTAAATCTTTACAGCTCCCTCGATGATCTGATTCTGCTTCGGCCTCTCCTGATTTTTATATACACCTGTCCCCACTCAAAGATACACCTACATCCTTCCTGCTTGTATCCATCCCAGTGAGAACTTTATGCCACAAACTCCCTTACCCAATTGCCCAAAGAAGCTGCTCTACATGAACTTCTTTTAATTTTGACATATTAAGAGTTACAGTAACAAAAAGATGGTTGTCTTGGCAGGAAAGCCTTTATCCTTGCAAAAGTTTAAGTCCACAAACATTCCCACTTAGCAGGCTGGAGTAGGATGTGAAATATATTCCACAAGGAATTAAAGTGAGATTCCACAAAAAAGGACCTGATGGTCAAGATGTCATCCAGAGAAAGCTGATTTCAGCACACAAGACACTTTCTGGGGTTGTGTCATTTTCATTGTCCCCCTCTCAACACATGTAATGGGTAGCACTACCCCGTTGGAAACAGTTGCCCCCTTGCTGTGTTTGTGGCGTGTTCAGGGGAAGCCATCTCTATTGCAGGCAAAGCCCAGTTGAAGCCCCTGCTTACAGGTAGCTTGACTCGGTTTTGGTTAGCAGCAGCAACAGCTGCAGATCCTTCGCTGGAGGGAATTGATGATGATTTTGTCAAATAAATTAATTATAAATGCTCCTGGTGATATGTTTTGTATTTTTTGACTGCCAGCATCCCACTTTCTGGGCTTTTTTTCTGAAACGTGTGCATCGGATATTGATTTGTAACTGAAGAATGTGTGTTTGTCTGTGTCCTCCGAAAACCCTGCACGGAGTCATATCCATTATGGCAATGAAATATTACCCGCGTTCAACAAACAAGGAGGCACGTCTCAGGTCGCTGAGCAGAAACATTCAGTTTCTGTTTCCAGGTGAACTAACTATTATTGAAATAGTTTATGGAGATTGAGATATTGATCACTTTCGTGCTAACCGTAGCTTAAGGGAAGAGCAAGTGTGGGGAGGAGGCTGGGTGGCGCTGGAAGACACCCTATCATGGAGTATCTGTATCTCTCTGTGTGTAAGGTTTTACTGCCTCTGTAGGTTTATTGCTCAAAGAGAAGGTTATCTTGGCTTCGTTTTTATGACAATATAATTATACTTCAGAAATGCACTTGATTACTCTGTGCAGCAAAATTGTTCCAGTGCATTGCCTAGGCCAATATTGCTATACAAACAACTTTTCAGTCAATTGAGTTGAGTAAAAAAATCAATATTTCTATAGCAATATTTCTAAGGAGAACTTGCTGAATCCATTTTTTTTGTCTTTCTGTTTGTTTGTTTAAAGAAAAGGTGGTTTATAGCTTTTAGCTTCGTGTTAAGTTTATTTCTTGCATTTTCTTAACTAAGAGATGGCGAGCTTTTTGAACTTAGCAGCTAGGAAAGAACCAAGGATGGACGACCAACCTGGCCAACATTTGAGGAGGGTTCTGTTTCCCCAAGTCCTTTCAAGCCTGGGCTTGCCAAGAGACTGGCTTTGGGCGGCCGCTGAAAGCACAGGCCCGGGGGCATTTGGCCCAGGGCACTCAGGTGGCGCATCAAAGGCGGAGAAGCAAATCGAACTTGTTTTGGAGAGGAGATACTCCTTTTAAGTTGTACATTTTAATAATTCATGTACTTCTTAATTAACGTAGTTTTCTTGTGATAGGTTAATATACATTTCATGTGTTTTCTGCTGCATTTATTTCTGTTGCGAAATGGTTCTTGTGGGAGAAGGACAGTGACCCCGCAGCTTGGACAACTTTCTCTTATGTTCAAGCGTAAGATCAACTCAGAATTACATTTTTTCCTCCCTAACCTTGAGCGGTTCAATAAAGAGCGTAAGGGTTTACCCCTGCTGGTGTGACAGCCGAGCCTCTGGATGAGTGGGTGGAGCAGGGGGGCAATCACGTCTCTGGGCTTCCAGGCGGTGCTTCTGTGCGGGAAGCGGGCATTCAGCATCTTTGGCCCGTCCACCCTTCGGCTGGTCCTCCTCATCCTCCACCGTTTATTCAGCAGAACTTCCCACAGGAATTCTGCACAGGAGAGGCTGAATTCCCAGCGCTACTCACAGTTGCCAGGGACGGTCTGCAGATTGTAAATTGCAGTTGATTGCGGCAAAGTTGTTTCTGGGGCTGAAACCAATATAGTTAGGCTATAGATTTATTACTCCACCTAATTTAAACCAGGTATTGTAATTTTTTGTACCCTTCAGATATTTTCAAAAAGCAGGTATGATGGAAAGTGCAGACTCTTGTGCATATATTGGAAAATATTTGTATACTGCCGCATCCAGGGTATTTACTTAAATTGCTTTTTTGAAAAATAATTCATGGGAAAGGCCAAACAGCACTGAGAGTGGGTTTGCTTTCTTCCACATTTTTAAACTAAGGGTGATTTACAGAGCTCTAAGACATTTTTTTTTTCAAAATTGCTTCCTGGGTTCCATGAAATATGCGAACCATGTGATTTATAAGGCAGCATCCCCTTTTAAAATTTGTACTGAGCAAAAACTGCACTAAATTATTTATAACAAAGACACCTTATTGGTATCATTTGAAACTTGTCAGTGGTAAATAACACCTAGCATCTCTCATATTTTGCGAACTCTTCTGCATTCTTTTTTCTGTGAATTCACGTAGCATTTTGACATTACTGATTTGGTCCAGATTTCAGAATTGCTCTGCTAAATCCAACCCGACAGGTCCTTCTAGTCCCATTCTGCTTTCCATCAAGCAGCTCGCCAGCTGCCTCTTGGACCTTTACAAGCAGAACTCAACCAGGAATGCCCTCCCCAGCGCTCCTGCTCCAATGGAGCTCTCGGAACCAAAAATATTTTCTGAGGCTTTCTGCAAGGGGTGGGCTTGCAACTACCAGAATTCACAAGGCTGGCTGGAAATTTGGGGAGGTGCAGTCTCAACCCAACCAAATAGGGAAGTTGGCCCAAAGCAGCAAATTCCCAGGAATGATATTTGCTGAAGTCTTGAAGTAGAAAGTGCGTTTGTGTGTACGTGCATGTGTGTGTGTAAGATAAAAGTGATACTAGATATCTATAGAGGACTGAATTAATTGATGGAGTGTCTATAAGCTGTCGGGCACCTTCTGTTTAAGGAGAGGAACATGGTCTTTGACCCTGCCTGTGTGGTG